CTTGTCTTGTTGCTCATCTTGAAGGAAAAGCTTTCAGCTTCTCACTATTAAGTAATGTTGGCTATGGGTTTGTCATATATGGCCTTTATTATGTTGAGGTATTTGTCCTCTATACTCATTTTGTTGAGAGTTTTTATCATGAATGGATGTTGAATTTTATCGAATGCTTTTCAGCATCTATGGAGATGATCATGTGGTTTTTGTCCGTCTTTTTATTGATGTAGTGGATGATGCTGATTGATTTCAAATGTTGTACCATTCTTGCATCCCTGGGATGAATTCCACTTGATCATGATGGATGATCTTTTTGATATATTTTTGAATTAGGTTTGCTAATATTTTAGTGAGTATTTTTGCATCTATGTTCAGGAGAGATATTGGTCTGTAATTTTCTTTTTTGGGGGTGTCTTTTCCTGGTTTTGGTATTAGAGTGATGTTGGCCTCATAGAATAAGTTTGGGCATATTCCCTCCTCTTCTACTTTTTGGAAAATTTTAAGGAGAATGGGTATTAGGTCTTAACTAAATGTTTGATAAAATTCAGCAGTGTAACCATTTGGTTCAGGAGTTTGTTCTTAGGTAGTTTTTTGATTATCAGCTCAATTTCTTTGCTGGTAATTGGTCTATTCAGATTTTCTGTTTCTTCCTGGGTCAACCTTGGAAGGTTGTATTTTCTAGAAATTTGTCCATTTCTTCTAGGTTATCCAGTTTGTTGGCAGATAATTTTTCACAGTATTCTCTCATAATTCTTTGTATTTCTTTGATGTCTGTATTGATTTTTCCTTTCTCATTTCTGATTCTGTTATGTGTGTAGGCTCTTTTTTTCTTGATAAGTCTGGCTAGGGGTTTATCTGTCTTGTTTATTTTCTCTATGAATCAGCTCCTGCTTTATTGATTCTTTCTATTGTTTTATTCTTCTTGCTTATATTTATTTCTGCTTTAATCTTTATTATGTCCCTCCTTCTCCTGACTTTGGGCCTCATTTGTTATTCCTTTTCTAGTGTTATTAATTGTGAATTTAGACTATTGACTTGGGATTGTTCTTCTTTCCTGAGAAAGGCCTGCATTGCAATAGACTTTCCTGTTAGCAAATCCTTCACTGTGCCCCACAGATTTTTTGTTGTTGAATTATTGTTGTCATTTGTATCCATATATTGCATGATCTTCGTTTTTATTTGGTCATTGATCCATTGATTATTTAGGAGCATGTGATTAGGCCTGCATGTTTTTGTGGGCTTTTTCATTTTCTTTGTGTAGTTTATTTCTAATTTCATACCTTTGTGATCTGAGAAGCTGGTTCGTACAATTTCAGTCTTTTTGAATTTACTGATGTTCTTTTTGTGTCCTAGTATATGATCCATTCTTGAAAATGTTCCATGTGCACTTGAGAAGAATGTGTATCCTATTGCTTTTGGATGGAGTATTCTTTAGATGTCCATTGGGTCCATCTGTTCTAATACATTGTTCATTGCCTCTGTTTCTTTACTTATTTTCTGTCTGGTTGATCTGTCCTTTGGAATGAGTGGTGTGTTGAAGTCTCCTAAAATGAATGCATTGCATTCTATTTCCCCCTTTAATTCTGTGAGTATTTGTTCCACATATGTAGGTGCTCCTCTGTTGAGTGCATAGATATTTATAATAGTTATGTCCTCTTGTTGGACTGACCCCTTTATCATTAAGTAATGTTCTTCTTTGTCTCTTGTTACTCTCTTTGTTTTGAAGTCTATTTTGTCTGATACAAGTACTGCAACTCCTGCTTTTTTCTCCCTATTAGTTGCATGAAGTATCTTTTTCCATCCCTTTACTTTCCATCTGTATATGTCTTTGGGTTTGAAGTGAGTCTCTTGTAGGCAGCATATAGTTGGCTCTTGTTTTTTTATCCTTTCAGTGACTATATATCTTTTGATTGGTACGTTCAGACCATTTACATTTAGGGTGATTATCAATAGGTACATACTTATTGCCATTGCAAACTTTAGATTCATGTTTACCAAAGGTTCAAATGTAATTCCCTTACTATCTAACAGTCTAATTTAACTCACTTTTTATGCTATTACAAACACAACCTAAATGTTCTTTCTTTTTTCCTCCCCTTTCTTTCTCCTCCATTTTTTGTATGTTATGTATCATATTCTGTACTCTGTCTATTCCTTGGGTGACATCTATTTGGCCTTAGGAATACTTCCTTCTATAGGAGTCTCTGCAAAATGCACTGTAGAGGTGGTTGTGGGAGGTAAATTCTCTCAGGTTTTGCTTACCTGAAAATTGTTTAATCCCTCCTTCAAATTTAAATAATAACCTTGCCAGCTAGAGTTTTCTTGGTTAAAGATGTGTCTGATTCATTGCATTAAATATATCATGCTACTCCCTTCTGCCCTGTATGGTTTCTGTTGAGAAATTTGATGATAGCCTAATGGGTTTTCCTTTGTATGTGGTCTTTTTTCTCTCTCTAGCTGCTTTTAAAAGTCTGTCTTTATCCTTGAACTTTGCCATTTTAATTATTATATGTCTTGATGTTGTCTTCCTTGGGTCCCTTGTGTTGAGAGATCTGTGCACTTCCATGGCTTGAGAGACTACCTCCTTCCCCAAATTGGGAAAATTTTCAGCAATTACCTCCTCAAAGACACTTTCTATCCCTTTTTCTCTCTCTTCTTCTGTTACCCCTATAATGTGAATATTGTTCTGTTTGAATTGGTAACACAGTTCTCTCAATATTCTTTCATTGTTAGAGATCCTTTTCTCTCTGTGCCTCAGCTTCTCTGTTTTCCTCTTCTCTAATTTCTATTCCATTTACCATCTCTTCTACAACATCCAATCTGCTTTTAAATCCCTCCATTGTATGTTTCATTTCAGATATGGAATTTCTTAATGATCAAATCTCTGTCTTAAATCCACTCCTGTGTTCTTGAATATTTTTCTGTACCTCCATAAGCATGATTATGATTTTTATTTTGAACTCTCTTTCAGGAAGTTTGGTGAGTTCAGTTTCAGTTGGTCCTTTTTCTGGGGTTTGTAAGATTTTGGTCTGAACCAGTTTCTTTTGACACTTCATATTTCTATGTGGTGCCCTCTAGTGCTCAGAAGCTCCAGTTTCTGGAGCTGCTCAGCCCCTAGAGTGAGGTTTGGGGTCATAGGGGAGCGGAGCTGTTGCCTGGGTATAGAAAAGATATGTTTCCTGATTTCTGTCTGTGGTGCCTGTCTCCAGTATCAGAGCCAGTGAGCTGAGCACACAGGTGTAAGCCTTTGTGCTTTGTGTCTCTAGCTGTTGTAGGCCTCTTTCTTTCCTGAGGCCAGCACAGTCACTGCCAGTTTGCAAGCCAGTGCTGTCCAGCCAGCAAGAAGGCTCGACAGGCTGCATGTCATAGTGGGGGGCCTTGGAGCTGTGCAGCCAGCCAGAAAATGGAGCACCTGAAGCTCCTCAAAGTTCCCAACCAGCTGGGCAGAGCGCGCTCAGGTAACCTGTCCAGCTCTCCCTTCTCCTGTGCAGCAAGCTCCATGGAAACCCCGCCCATCAGTAGCCCTCTCGCTGCTAGGAAGCCTCTCAGACCATCTGCCTTTCCCTTGTCCCAGAGCAGCCAAATGTGGATCCTCATCCTCCACAAATGACCGGAATCTCAGTCTTTCAAGCACTCCACCTGTCCCAGCTCCCCAACCTCCAGAGCACCACACAATGTATGTTTCTGCTTGCACAGCAGATCTCCAGGGCTAGGTTTTCAGCAGGCCCAGTCTTCCACCCTCTCCCCACCCTGTTTCTCTTCCTCCCTCTGGTGAGCTGGGGTAGGGGAAGGGCTTGGGTCCCGCCAGATCAAGGCTTTGGTACATGACCCAGTTTTGTGAGGTCTGCTCTGTTTGTAAAGTCTGTATGCAGTCTGGTTCAGCCTTCTTTCCTGTTGCTGTTTTAGGGTTTGTTGTATTAACTATATTTTCATACTATTTGTGATTTTGGGAGGAGTTCTCTGTCTCACCTCTCACACCGCCATCTTGAATCTATGTTGTGAATTTTGAATGATTGAAAATAAGAAAACCAAAGCAAATATAATTTATACCTTGTACACTTTTGTGCATATTGAGTTCAGCATAAAACATTAAAATCAACAGATCTGAGCATGATGCCTCAAATGCTGACTTTGTATATACCAATAACCCAAGGTGTACCAGAACCTTATTTCACAGACAAGTGCAAAATATATTAAGATATTAAACATGTTCCTGTGTTCACATATTCTTAAAATTTGTCTTGATGTAATTAAATTTTTACAAAGTTTTAAGAATAAAACTTTTGGACACAGGCAAAAAACTTAAGGGAAATCAACAACTATTTAGTGGTTTTCAAAACATGTTTCTATTAGAGTTGAATATGCCATAATATTTACAAATTTTGCATGTACTTTCATCTGTTTTGCATAATCCAAATCTCATTTGACTGTCTCTAATTCTTTCTATAAGTGTAATCATGTACAAGAATAACTAGTCAAAAGTAGCTTTTCTTTTTCCTTCTCAGGAAAAAAAAATAGAATATATGGTATATAATTTATGTGGTTTTTTATTGCATGTTATTTTTGCATTTTCTCTACTATTTAGTAAAAGACAAATATAAATATTTTTCCTTGGCATCTTGCCTATTTTTGACCAAATTTTCTACTTTTTGGGGAAGAATAACAATAATATTTTGCAGTCTCATGCTTTTTGATAATACCACCTAACCAAATGGTATAATTGGTGTTTGTGTAAAGCTAAATTTAAATTCTGACCTTTGAGCTATCAAGTGCTACTGAAATGCCTGTAGAGAGTAAATAGATAGACACAAGGGTCTTTTTGTGTTGCTGATGAAGCTCTTTATACTTTGTGACTAAGCTCTTTGGATCCTGGTTGATGTTGGAAGAACATTTGTACTAAGACAAAAAATATTCCTGCTGCTAATCATTGAAACCCTTTTTATTCTGCCACTGAATACATTTTTTTAAATAGCAATACACACATATGTACACACATTTTTTTCCAGGACTACAGAGTTAACATTTTCCTGAGACAAAAATGGAATGATCCCAGGCTGAAGCTGCCTAGTGATTTTCGGGGCTCAGATGCACTGACAGTGGATCCTACAATGTACAAGTGTCTGTGGAAACCTGATTTATTTTTTGCAAATGAAAAAAGTGCCAATTTTCATGATGTGACCCAGGAAAACATCCTTCTCTTTATATTTCGGGATGGAGATGTCCTTGTCAGCATGAGGTAATCTAAATCTTTAGTATTTGTACATTTGTATTTTCCTTTTATTATCACTGTATCACAGAGAAATATATTAAATGACTTCTAAGACCTGTTTCTACTTTCAGGTTATCTATTACTCTTTCCTGCCCTTTGGACTTGACCTTGTTCCCCATGGATACACAACGTTGCAAGATGCAACTTGAGAGCTGTATGTAAATAATACCCGAAGTCACTAAAGAATGAAAATGTTTGAAATTTATAGGCTATGCATTCTACTAATATCTTAGATATTTAACAATGGTAAAACTAATGCTTTTGATACAAGTAGTCATTAAAATCATTTATGTAGTGAAATTACAGGTATTTTTATATATAACTATAATTTTAGATACTTTTACTATATTAATTTGTACTAAGACAAATTATTTTGATACCAGTATTTTATTTCAGTTAGTTTCATGTAGGTGTGCACTTCTAACTTATTCCAGTTGTCATCTTCATTTCAACTAGTAATGTAGATAAGGTAAGGGAGAAAATGATGACAAAGGAAAAAATAACTTTTCTGATGTTAAAACCACATTTTCAGAGAAAATTTGGAAAACATTGAAAAACATTCTCTAAATCCTAGCAAGCATTCCTTTTCCATGGATGTGTAAAACATTATATTTTATAAAATTGGAATTTCTGTTTTTTTATAATCATATTAGTTTTCAGTTTATGAAGGATGCAGTAAGAGTATGAATTGAAATGATTAAAATATGTTAATTTACTATGATGCTTATCTTTTGGAAATAAAAGTAGGTAATAAGACTTGAAAAGTGAACACAAATGTAAGAAATATTTAGCCTCAATACCTATATAACATGTCCAATTTCTGCAGACTGAAGAATAATAACCTTTAAAATGTCTTATATGTACTTGTTAGATGATATGATCCAAAGTAACTTAGTGCTTATTTGTTGTTTAAAAAAACTTCTGAGCCAGAGACGGGTAAGATTCCTCAAGGGAGGAACAACCTAAGACAGGCACAGTTGCAGGGGGGCCATCAGGTAAGAAAATGGGGATCAACAGAGGTGAGGCTTAGAACCTCACCTCCCCTGTTTTGAGAGAAATCTTCTGCATCCTTGGATGTTTTACTGCCCTTGTCTAGCTTGGATTAACACATAGTCTACAGGCACACACCTGATCATCTACATTTGCTCTCTTACAACACTAAACTATGTTTTTTACCTTTATCTTGCATCTACCTACCACTTCAGCATTTTATTAAAAATAAATAAATAATAATAATAATAATAAAGAGAGAAATGTGAGATCCACATATAAATCAAGTATAAAAATCAAATGAATATTCATATTTGACCTGATTGTTTATAGTTCATAATGCGTGATCAAAACCGAAAGTTTCTGTGATGAGTGCCCTTGTACTGCTCACCATGTAAGAACTTATTCACTATGTAAGAACTTTTTCACCATGTAAGAACTTGTTCGTTATGCTTCAGAAGACTGGAGACTGATGAAAATTAGGCTTGAGGTGGATTAATGATTGTGCATTGAGCATTGACTCCCCTATACAGAATTTTATTGTGTTAACAACCATTTGATCAATAAATATGAGAGATGCCCTCTCAAAAAAAAAATTTCTGAAGCTAGATCTTATATTTGAAAAATATTTATTACTTTCTAAGTATAAAGTGAGATTTTGCAGATATAAATATATGTATTGTATATATGTATGTCTGTGTGTCAATACATATTTGTATAAAAAATTCCAACTGTATTTATATTCAGTTCTATTACCAGATGCACTGAAGCATTGCCTTGAAAAATATATGTGCTTTAGATTGAATGGCTGACTATTACATGCTGTAAAACTCCACTGGATCCTTGAATTGTAGACATATTGTCTAAAGTCAAAATAGGAGTTTCGTGATGATATGATGTCCACTAGAGGGATTGTTTTATTGTTCTTCTGTGGCAATGCAACTTTTTTAGAGAAATCATAGCTATTTCTTAAAAAAAATAAGTGCTTAGGGCTTAAGTTCCTTTTAAAATTTCCAGGTAGCATATTTCATGATTGTAAATGTAGATATTCATCACTTAACTTATGACTATTTTATTAATGACAGTTCAGAATTCTAACATAGGGAAATGTATTACTGTAATGACACCCTAGGATTTTAAGTATTTGCAATTTGCTGATTATTCTAGCTTGTTCTTTCTTTAAGCCAGTTATCTGTAATTCTGTACTAATACTTTCCTACGTGGCCATAGATTTTTTAACTCTACATCTTTATGAAAATGTTAATAATTGTATTTCAAAGTAATGTTTTATTTATTTTTGTTTATAGTTGGTTACACAACTGATGATTTACGATTTATCTGGCAATCAGGGGACCCTGTGCAGTTAGAGAAAATTGCCTTGCCTCAATTTGATATTAAAAAGGAGGATATTGAATATGGTAACTGTACCAAATACTATAAAGGCACTGGTAAGTAATATTCTTTAAATTAAACAAAACAGTCCTATTTCAAAGATTCATTTTAATATTAATACATGCTGAGAACAGAATAAAAGAAAATTAATTTAAAAATAAGTATTTATAAGTAGTTTATCTTTACATTAATATAGTTAAATCTTTCAAAAATTATATTTGCTGAAGTTTCTTAAAACTTTTTTTTATTACTAGGTAGTTTTGCTTTTTTTATGTAATTCTGGATAAGAGGTTTTTGACTTTTTATTTTAGTAATGTAAACTCTCCTAGGCAATGGTTTTCTTAGATGTTGCCAAGAAATTCTACTCTGACAAGATTCAATTTGGGAACAAACATTATGGATATGAACAATGTAATCCATATATACTTGTCTTCTGGGCAGATTTTAGATGTTGGTTGACCCATATTCTTAATTTTAAAATGTATTGCTCACTATGCTATGCAGGAAGCAAAAATGTGTAAAATAATTGCACATCAGTAAATATTTCAGGTGTAATATTTTTGTCCTAGGTCAAGATGAAACAGCCAATTATGAAAAGCGCAATAGAGTCACCTTGTTCATTAAATTATATCAAGCCTTGCAGAAATGAAAACAAAATATTCAAAATCAACACTTTCATAATATGATTAGTATTCAGTATTTGGGTCTCTGCTGCTAGTTATAGGTTATTGAGGGTTTTAGATAATAAATATAGCATTTCCCTTAGCAATATAAATACAGAAATGATCAAATTTTGACCATTACATTAAAACTAAGAAGTTCTACTTGTGTACTGCCACACAATTCTAATTCTGTATCACAAAGATATTCAGGGATATAATTAAAGTTTAAATTTATTACAATATTTATGTTGACTTCGCAAAAATAAAAACATATAGTGTAATTGTATAGAATTTATAGAGATCAGATGTTTGGGCTAAAATGCTGCCATTATGATATCATAAAGGACAAAATATAATTTAAAACATTCTTGTCGATATTTAGATAAAAGATGGAGTTAGTATATGCATGTTTATAGTGTGACAATAAATGCAAAGCTAGCCAACTTAGAGATAAAGTTAGTTAAAAAAAAGTCTGTTCTTCAAATAAATTAACAGATTATACAGTATTTATATATAACTAGTGCCTTCTCTTATAAATTTACAGTATAAGACGAGAGAAAATAAGCAAATATACTGATAAAAGAATTAACAAGTTTTTTAAAAGGAAGAACAAATTTCTTAAAAATTTGACCATCAAAGCACTCAGTGAAGTCATAGATATGTAAATTTTTGATATGGAAGTAATCTTACTGATAATTCTTATCCAGCTCCTTTAATACATAAAATAACTAGGTGCAGGGTGAGTGAGTGACTTATGAATGTTATTCTAATTAAGGAGACTAACTAGTTTTTAGGGATTTTTACAGTTCACCTAGTAATGAAAAGGTAAGCTTGAAAGCCAAGTAAAATCCTTCTTCAATTGTTGTGTGAAAGTATATTTAGTATATAGCTTTCTGAGTTCTTACTATATTTCATGCATTGTTTTAAATGCTTTCCAGGAATTCTATAATTTAATCTTCACAACGATCCCATGAGTTCAATACTTTTATTATTCCTATTTTACACATTAGCATAATGAAGCAAAGATACTTACCTAAGGCATAGTGTTACTAAGTGATATGCTGTCAGAGTGAGTCTGACATTGCTACACTTTCTATGTCATCAGTCCTATTATGCTTTGAAAAAGTTACCTACATTCTGATTATATGCTTAACTTTTTTAAATGAATGGTTTCTAAATTATTTTGAGAAATTTGTAATAGACCCTATTAAAATTTTAAACCTCATCTAGAGATGAAAATAAAATTAATATTTTAAATTCTGATATAATGTAATAGCATAAAGTTATGTAATAGCCTGAAAATTCAGAGGAGATGGCTATCCATTTTTTCACCTTTAAGCCCTACATTTAGAAGTATCCTTTTGGGGACTCAGTACTGAGTAAAAGACCCCTGTCCTGTTATAGATTCACAGGCAAATATGGTAAACAAGTAAACAAAGTAAATATAAGTCGTTTTAGTTCTAAGAAAAAATCAGAACATGTATTGTGTTAGACTATTTGGGATAATATTCAGAATTGATGAGTAGTCTTCTGTGGCTTTTTGAGTTATCATAAATAAGTCATTGATCTCTCATTAGCTACAGAAAATAACAAAAATTATAGCTATCATAATAATTGACACTACATTTCAGTAAACATGCTTTATCAGTGTCTACATAAATCATATTAATGTAAGTAAAACAATGTTTGAATAATATTTAGACAGGTATTCAGAAAATATTTTGACTTAAAAATATTTAGAAATATTCAGAAAATATTCAAAATATATGAAATGCTTGAATAGTGAAAAATAAGAAAAAATGATTAATTATTTTAAACATAAATAATCATAAATAATGATTTGGCTTTAACTTTGCTAAAAGTTTATGTTTTTAATAATTGTAGAAATTCCAAAGGTAGATAAATATATAGGAAAATAAGTACACAAAAATACTTAAATTGGAAGCCTAAGTGAATAATAATGAAATAACCGCACAGGAAATAGAAAGTAAATTGAATTTACCGGTGTACATTTGTATCATTTGCTGCCCACCTGCCTCTCATAAACATAACAGTACCAGGAAAAGTTCAGCAAAGATCAAGAATGCTTCTCATAAAAGTTTTATGGAGCAAATCACTATAATATCCAAGCCAATACTCTACTGCCAAATTCATCCAAGTACTGAGAAGCTCCCCTAGTGGGTGCCTTTGTAACGGGGTACCGTGGAAACTTGATTCAGAACAGACTCATGTTATTTAGGCTGTCATTTAAGAGAGGTAGAAAGGGATGCAAAAATTCACATTAAAGTGAGCAACTCTATAGTAAATTGTTCCAATATTTGTGACAACGTAGGTTACCCAAAGATATTAATAAGCACATATGCATTGTTTTCTATTTTATATGCATTAGTCGAATATAAAGTTAACTTCAGTAAATGATGCTATTACAAAGCCAGGTACACCAGAACCACTTTTAGGAAATACTGGGAGCCTCTTAATTGCAGCAAATTGGACTTATGAAATACTGTATTTTGGAAATTTTGCACAAGATTGTTAGTTAGAAACATGTTTTTATTTTTCCAAGCAGGAACTTAAGATTAGTGGTAGAGGACAGAAAAAGAGAGGACATTTTTTCATTGTTGTGCCTTTTGTATCTTTTTAAAACCCGTGAACAATTTAAATGAATTGCCTGGTTTAATGAAATTAAAATTTTTTTAAAACAAAAACTGCATTTCTTGTTTATGATATAATATGCAAACACTTGGCGTAATTAGAATATATCTAATATCTTTCTAGTCTCTCAGAAGTAGCAATGATTCACATTGGAAAAAGAATAGATTTCTAATGTAAGTTATTTGGTAAGAGGATGTGAATAGCTATTATTTTATTTTATATTAATTAAGACCCTATTGTGTGCCACTATTGCTGTAGGTACTATTAATGAATAAATATGAAGATTTTCCTGGTGTTGGAAGTATGTACTTATTCTTTCCAACCAGGTAAAACAAATAAATACCTTAAAAATGTAAAATAGTAAAAGGTAATATTGTCCTATCTGCATAATTCTTTCATTTTTTCATTGTTTATTCATGTATTTGCTTCAACATTTTTAAATAGGTATGTACAGTTTAAGCAGAACACCACTGATGGTATTTTACCTTTGTGGTAATTGTATATAACCTTACTTTTGTTGAATAGTACATGACAATTTTATCTAAATTAAGTACTTTAGGCACTAAGTATTGTATTTAAATTGCTAAACAAAAGACTAAAACTTAAAAAATCATCCAAACATCAGGAAATGTCTACTCTATGCCAGTGGAGGGAGAATATTTGTGCCACTTTTCTTACTTAAATCAGCAAAAGCTATTATAAAGCTGCCCATAATTTGTGATTAATTTGGGTCACCGGTTGATGTTCTGGCAGCTCTAGAATTATGTTGTAAAGCAATTTCTGCATTTATCTCAACTTGTGAAAATGAAATCCTTTTCCTCAATTAGAGTATATTTGAGGGTCTGGAGTGGACGAAGAAAGAAAATTGAGAGAAATGTCAGATGTTTGTACTTTATAATCTATTATCTAACACACACAAAACACTTCTTATCCTTGCTAATATTTACTTCCAATACTTTATTAATTTTTTAAGGTTTAAATGTGCATAGGAGTTATTGTGCCATCCTTTCTAGGTAAGTGGTACACATGTTTGAAGAATTGTTCTGACGGTGCATATAGTCCAGGAGTGTTCCTTTTAAGACTTGTTCTACTTTGATTTACTGCTCCCTATATAACTCTTTTATATAATTTTCTCTGAGAGTACCCACAGGTAATGAAAAGTGTAAGTCCCTTGCAGATTCTCTGAACAAAGACTTAAAAGCCGAGACACTGACATAGCGGAGCAGCATGTGGTATCTATTTCTCAATGGCATAATGAAGTCGTGAAAGGTCAGGTGAAGTAGGCCCCCTATTGTCATCCTTCTAGATCACATAAATTATATATATTTACAGAAAAAAAATTTTTATGGAGCTTACTTTATGAAACTGCCTCAAATAGAAGTGACTTTTGTAGGTGCACTATTGATTATAGGCACACTTACTGCAGCTGTATGTGGGTGCGAACCTCATGTTTTTCGTGGTTGTTTCTGAAAGGGTACTACACCTGTGTGGAAGTCATCTTCACCCTGCGGAGACAGGTCGGGTTTTACATGATGGGCGTCTACGCCCCCACCCTGCTCATCGTGGTTCTCTCCTGGCTTTCCTTCTGGATCAACCCGGACGCCAGCGCGGCCAGAGTGCCCCTGGGTAACGTGCTCCGCGCCGCTCTCGCCTGCCAGCCCTGCGTTAGCTCCACACACAGCTAACTACATAATCAACCATTTTGAAACCATGGGTTTCAGAAATGATATGGCAAACTTTTCCCTGTTTTTCCCTTCAACATTTGACATCAATCCAAATTTTCTTAATGTTTATGCACTCTAATTAAACTTGGTTTTTTTCTTTTCATGTCCTCAGGGCATTTTAAACTGTTAATCTGTCCTTTGACTCTCAGGAAATAATTTTTAATGACTGATTTTCATAGGTAACTAAAGTCTAAAATCCTCCATACTGCCAAACTTAAATACTATTTTGATGGAAATCTTTCTAAATAGTATATGCTGTCTTATGGTTTTGATCAGGGAATATGTAATATAATTCATCTTTTTAGAAATGACTTAGCATCATTTTTCTAAACAACAGTTTTCGTGCACCGCATCATCTGGACTGGCTGGAGAGAGTGAAGGCTGGTTATCCACACTCTCCAATTTGTTGTTTTTAATGCTCTGTGACATAGCAACATCATTAACCAGACTTGAGAATTGTGTCTAGATAGGGGTGAAAAAGTCTCTGCTTGGGGAAATAACCAAGAGCCCTCCTTATGGGTAAAGTGAATAAACTTCAAAATAAGAACAACATAACACCAAATTGTGATTGGAATGTTTTAAAATGTTTCATTATTGTGTGTGTGGGTGTGTTTCTGAATATCACCTGGAACTTACATTGGAAGGCTGTGATACATCTGACCTCTTGGTGACTGATTGGTAGTAGCATTTCACTTTTTTCTTCCATCAGTAGGCTTTGTGCAAATCTCCCCCCTGACTTACTGGAGGAATTAAATAAAATACAGATTTTAACGAGTAGCAAATCAGGAAAGCAGTGAAAATAACAATTTTACCTGAATAAAAAATCTGGTGTTTTTTATTTAATAAAACCACAAAGACCAAATCTATGTCTTAATAACCATAAATAGGGGAAATGTCAACCTAAAAGTTGTGTATCTGTAATGATGACAGTGGCAACTGATTATTCCTTTAGGGAATGAGAATTAATTGTATAGTGTATTATACTGGGAATGAAATACCAAATCTAGATTTAAATCTGTAGGTTTGTGAAAAATACTCATTTTTCTCAAATACTTATGATTTGTTTGTTTATTAGAAATATCTTACTCTCACACAGTGATATAAACTGAAATGTCAGGCTTCAAAGGGTGCTTAGGAGATTTCCCAATCCCTGACATATTCTTGAAGGATTTTGCTCTGTAAATCCCCATGAACTGCAGGACTTCTGATATGAAGTCCCTGAGCTGTCCATATAGTATCTAAGAGGCCTGTTGTATAGGCCAGAAATGTTTAATGGTTGAAAGTCATTCTCTAGAGTCAGACCTGGGTTTGAATTCCAGCTCTGTGCTTACTAGCTATGACAACTTAGACAACAAAGAGATCTAACCTCTTTAAACCATGTTCTGTTGAAATGTCAACAGGGATGAAAATATACTCAAGGGGTTACTTGGAGGATTGAAAAAATGAGTAGTAAAGCCCATGTTACACATTCAGAAGTTAATGATATGCCTCATTTATGTATTACTTTATTAGTACTTTTACACATTTTGATTCATTCAACAAATATTCTGCTGACTGTGCTAGGTTATATTCAAGAAGGTGAAATATAGTTAACAAAGTCAATACCTAATGAATAGCCAATAAAGTAGATTTTAAAAAGAAAAATGGTTACCCTCAATGAGTTAATATTCTCTTGGGAAGAAACAGAAACTAAGTACAATATATAATATATAAGATGATGGTAAGGAGAGAGAGAGTTCAGCCTCAGCAGCCTACTTGTCAGGAATTGCCTCAAAGAGAAAGTGATATTGGATAAAGAAATGGTGGAGGTGAAGAAATGATTCATTGTGGTTATCTAGGAAAGAGTGGGACTGGCTAGAGATCATTAAGCACAACATTCCTGAGGCAAGAGCATGATTAAGAGTACTTTGGGAACTTCAAGAAGGCCAATGTGGTTGGAGCAGACTAAGTGAAAGGGCAATTAGTAGATGAAATAAAAAAAGTAAACAATGGTGAGGGCTGGACCACATAACATCTCCATAGGTGTTCTGCTGATCTGGGCTTTGTGAAGTCTTTGAGTGCTTTTGAACATGATGTGATTTAACTTTTAATAGATTGTCTTTGCCACCTTTGTTTAGAATAGACTGAAAGGGGGCAAGGGTGGAAGCCAGGAAAGAAGCTAGGGAGCTGTTTTAATAATCCAGGTGAAGTAATCATGGTATGAGCAGTGGTCATAAATATATGGTGGATATTTTAGAGACAGAGATTTGTAGATGAGATTTGTATGTGTGGTTTAAGAAAGCAGATTCAAGTCTAACTTCAAGGTTTCTTTGGCTGAGAAACTAGAGATGAAATTGCCATTAACTGAGATGGGAAAGCTGCGTGTAAAGTAGGTTGAGAAGGTAGGCAGAGCAAGAGTTAGTTTTTGGACATGCTGGGTTTGAGATGTCTTTTAGGTAGAGATGTCAGAGAGGCAGTTGAATGAACAAGTCTCAGATTTCTTAGAGATATCAGGGCTGGAGGGTAAGAATTTGATTTGTCAGAATATAGATCAGCAGAAGATCTGAACAGCCATTTTTCCAAAGAAGAGATATAGATGGCCAAGAGGCACATGAAAAGACGCTCCACATCACTGATCATCAGGGAATGCAAATCAGAACTTCAGTGAGACACCACCGCATACCTGTTAGAATTGCTATTATCAAAAAAAAATAAGAAATAACAAGTGGAGAAAAGGGAACCCTTGTACAAGTTGGTGAGAATGTTTACTGGTATAGTCACTATGCAAAACAGTATGAATGTTGCTCGGAAAAATGAAGAATAGAACTACTACATGATCTATCAATCCCATTTCCAGATATTTATCTGAAGAAATCAAGAATGCTAATTCACAAATGTAATGCATCCCCATGTTCACTGCAACATTATAGTAGCCAAGATATAGAAACAACCTAAGTGCCCATTGGTGAATAATGCATAAAGAAATTGTGTATTTATATGCAATGGTATATTATTTCATCATAAATAATGAAATGTTGCCATTTCTGACACTGTAGATGGTCCTCAAGGACATTATGCTAAGAAAATATGTCAGACAGAGAAAGACAAATATGGTAGCTCTCTTTCATGTGGAATCTAAGATAAAAACAAAACCAAAACTAAGCTCATACAGAGAAGAGTGGTAGTAACAAGAGGCATGGCGTGGGGAGTGGGAAAAATGGGTGAACTTTTTTTTTGTTTTTTTGTTTTTGTTTTTTTTTTTAGTTTAAATAAACTGAATAAAAAGTTTCACAATATCATATTACAGCCTTAGGTTACATTTCTGGATATTCAGTTGATATAGCTGTTTTGATTCAGCATCTTCCCTTCTACTTTTCTCTTCCTGCATTATTCCAAAGAATTTTTTAAAAAAGCAGCTTGTCAATCTTTTTGTATTATGGCCCATCATTTTCATTTTTTTTAAGTTAGAAAAAAAAATTATGTTGCATAAAATAACTAATTTACTCGACTCATTTTGCTTTTTTTTTTTTGAAAAATCAGATTTGTATTATAGTGATTTTTCTCTTGGACTCTTTTATCTATTTATTTCATTGCTAATAACAAACATCAATGCTTCCTCTATGAATTTTAGATAAAGATTTTTGTCTTTAGCTATTTAAGTGTGGAAGCAACTATGCAAGTAACTATGGAGGTAGCTTTGTAATACTCTAAATAAATTATACTATAACACTCCCTTCTTCAGGTACATAAAATACTTTAGTTGCTGCCAAAAGGGAATATTTTTTAAATTAAGGTATTATTGATATACAATCTTACAAAGATTTCATATGAGCAACATTGTGGTTATAACGTTCACCCATATTATCAATGCCCAGCCCCACACCCCATTGAAGTCACTGTCCATTAACCATGTTAAGATGCTATAGAGTTGTTATTTGTCTTCTCAGTGCTATAAGGCCTTCCCCATGAGCCACCTACATTATGTGTGCTAATCATAATGCCCCTAAATCCCCTTCTTATTCCCTTCCCAACCACCCTTTCCACCCCCTTCCCTTTGGTAACTGCTAGTCCCTTCTTGGAGTCTGTGCATCTGCTGCTGTTTTGTTCCTTCAGTTTTGCTTTGTTGTTATACTCCGCAGATGAGTGAAATCATTTGGTACTTGTCTTTCTCTGCCTGGCGTATTTCACTGAGCATAATACCCTCTAGCTCCATCCATGTTGTTGCAAATGGTAGGATTTGTTTTCCTCCTATGGCTGAATAGTATTTCATTGTGTATATGTATCACATCTTCTTTATCCATTCATCTGCTGATGGACACTTTGATTGCTTCCATATCTTGGCTATTGTGAATAGTGCAGTGATAAACATAGGGGTGCATATATCTTTTTGAATCAGGAATCTAGTTTCCTTTGGGTAAATTCCTAGGAGTGGAATTCTTGGGTCAAGTGGTATTTCTATTTTTAGTTTCTTGAGGAGCCTCCATATTGTTTTCCACAATGGCTGAACTAGTTTACATTCCCACCAACAGTGTAGGAGGGTTCCCCTTTGTCCACATCCTCACCAGCATTTGTTGTTCCTTGTTCTTTGGATTTTGGCCACCTAATCAGTGTGAGGTGATATATCTTTGTGGTTTTAATTTAAATTTCCCTGATAAATAGTGATGTGGAGCATCTCTTCATGCGTCTGTTGGCCATCTGAATTTCTTCTTTGAAGAAGTGTCTGTACAGATCCTGTGCCCATTTTTTAATCAGGTTATTTGCTTTTTGGGTGTTGAGGCATGTGAGCTCTTTATATTGGATGTTAACCCCTTATCAGATATGTCATTTACAAGTATATTCTTCCATACTATAGGATGCCTTTTTGTTCTGCTAATGATGTCCTTTGCTGTACAGAAGCTTTTTAGTTTGATGTAGGCCCATTTG